CTTTGCTTTATTGAATAGTACAAATGACCCCTATATGTCTGCCACATCTTTTCAACTTTTAATTATTCAAATTGGCTAAATGGCATATTATAATATATGCATTTTAAAACAATACAATCAATATGGCGGATGCGCACATTTTTTAAAAGCTTGCTCATAATTTTTTTTCTGTTTCTGCATCAAAACAATTATTTGTTTTTTTCCCAAATTTCTCCAGCCTCCCCCAATTTTCTAATTTTGCTAAGGCATTTATGAAACTGTTCGTCATGCTTTCCTTTTCATTGCTTCCTGCTAGTTCTATTTACTCGTAAAATGTGGCGTGAAACCTACATTACACATTGAGCTTTAAACACGTGATAGATCAGGTGTTTCGGTCAATTGAGGTCAGGTCATAAACATTAGAATTCCATTGGTTGCTGGCAGTATGCAAATAATAGAATGCAACATGGCGGCGACATAGTGGGTTGAATATTTTCCGGGGCTTGTACTGTTTTGTTCGTTGTGCTACATAAAATGGCATCATTTATTGACGATGTGGATGATATTAGACGCAACAGAAAAGTGACAATAACTGGGACTGATCACATCGAAAATTATACGGTATGTAGCGAACATTTTGTAAAGCTTAAAAGTAATGTATGATGAATTACAATAATGATACTATATGAGTATATCATCAATATTAATAGCTGGCTGGCCATCCGCCCATTTCCTGTTTGGTTCCTCTAATATTTTCGGACGTGTTATATGTTTGGCAAACTTACCACAATTCTTAGCTCCGGTATTCGACCTGCACCAGCGAACAAGAGACAGGTCTGTTGACAACCAAGCCTGTCTGCGTGGTCCTGGTCCCAGACCCTGGGACTGAGACTGCATGCTTTTCACGAGTTTTAGCCAACATTTTGTTAACAGGATACTGTCGTCAAATTCACCTGTCTAACTTGTACTGCATTAATTGCTTTGTGTATTAAATTAGTACATTGACCATTTTATGATTATATTATCCTATTATGTCAATTTCTGATCACTGATCTAATTGTCCATAAAATCAATTTGTAAATTCGGGAACTAGTCTTATGAATCAAATCATATTTTAGACTAATTAGACAGCTCTAAGCGTTGATGGATATGCATTTGTTGCTACCAATGGTTTTTGATTGGTAGCCACAAATTTTCTTTTCACTGCGAGATCTTGTGTATTGCCTGAAACATGGACCGAACATTGATAATGGATAAATGATTTGATTTTGAATTTAAATTTCTCCTTTTTATATAATGTAGCTCAATGCCTATCTTTCAGAGAGAAATATAGCATTGAGATACCCTTACTTCATCAAAATTGACAATCATTAAATGTGTATAGTATCAGAGGTACATTACTTGGGGTTTGTAACTACGGTGACATGATACCAAGATCCCGCCACAATCTCGCTCTCGCATAAACGTTCCAACTCAGAAAAAATGCGAATGCGCATGCCCGAGGTAACTAGGATCCTGGGATGTCCTGGTGGATCAAAATAGCTGCCCACGATATGACGGATTACGAGAACTATATTTTCTGTACATTTTCGATGTATTACATTTTTCACTATGATAGTGACAAGAAAAGTTTATTTTTTTCATTACAAACCTTGAACATTGATATGTGTCATGTCAGAAGGTCGTAGCCTCAGTCTCGCTATCTACGAGAAGAGACTTGAATGGGATCTTGACATGATGTCACCATTCAGTACTATGCGAGTTGCAAACCCCAAGTAATGTACCTCTGATAGTATATTATTAGGCATGGAAATACCCCCTAAAATATGTTGAACGGAAAATGGTCTGTTATGTTGGAATTATTATGAGCTTGTGTCAATACAAAGATATCACTGTAATAAAAAATATACCATTATTATGTCTTCCCCAGTAAAAGTAAAATAAATTAATATAAATATCTTGATGTTTTATCTATCATATCAGAGTGGTACATGTACAACTCTCATGTGACCAATATTCCAATCTGATGATGTCATCACTTGACAGCTGATTCATAAAGACTCAACATGTTGAACTTTGTGACTTGCCACCTTTTTTGTAGTGTCTGGAGCTCAGTCACTAAGTGCCATCAAGTGATTCATATGATACACTACCTGAAAAATTAATTTGGCAGAATTAGTGGACATTCTGATTGTAAAGATGGTATGCTTTTTAGGAATTTCAAAATTGAAGAAATTGAAAAATGAAATATGACATTGGGATACCCTTGCTTCATTGAAATTGACCATCATTACCAAATGTGCACAGTTTCTTATTAATTAAGTATTGAATCCCACATGATATTTTGAAACTACTGCTATCGTATGTCTTGTTTTTGTGTTCAATTTCATGCATAATGCAGGATCTCAGAGTGAACAGAAAATGCTGTACTGATATTGACATAAAATTATTATTTTATTTTCATCAACAGATATACAATATTGAAGTGTCAGTGTGTGATTGTCAATGGAGTACCCGACATAGATACAGTGAATTTGCTGACCTTCATGAAAAACTTGTCATTCAACATAAAGTTGAAAAAGGACTACTGCCACCGAAGAAACTTTTAGGAAATCTTTCCAGATCATTTATTGAAAAACGACAGAAAGATCTAGAACAATATTTACATTCTCTATTGCAGAGGTTTATTTACTTGCCGAAGTCTTTGTCATATTTCCTAGGATTCAATAAATATGTGAGTTGTATATTTTACTTTTTAGATAAAAATGTTGAGCGAAAGCGATTTTTAGGTGTAATTTTAATTTTTCAGGAACCAGATTCATAATAAAATGTTTGTGTTATGGGAAAATCAAAAGTAAAACCAATTTCCCATATTATTGCTACAATACATATTTCTTCTAATGTTTTGTGTCAGGCAACAGTCCCTGGCACATTGAAAGTCACTGTTGTCTCTCCTAACTTTTTTATATGCAAATTGGGAGTACTGACACTAAATAAAAGATGATACTAAATACAAATCTAGAATGCATTCACCACACACTGTTATTTTAAACAACGCCTCGAATACCATCTGCTGGATTGCTTTGATTTGTAATTTAAGAGTAGCTCTATTAGATAAGGGTACCAGCATTTTTTTTATTTAGATATATGGTAACAAAATTTGATTTCAACATTAAAAGATATTGTTTATCAATATTGTTTTTTTAACCATGCGAGTACCTTACTTTTATTTTTTAATTCTTTGCTTGGAAACTATCAGCCGAAGTGCTCTTTTATTTTGTATCTTAAATTCTGTCAAGCATGTGTTGTTTTGTCATGTTATATGAAGTGTTTTTAATTAATAATCCTTTTTGCTTAAAAATTGAATACTAGAATGAGCAACAAAGTTATTTGTACGCCCTCATGTAGTCTACTTTTTCAATTAAATTCCAGTGTTTTGGTAAAATGATCACAAATTAATTTTTTACAATCAACCTGCTTTAGCTGAGCTCTGGTCAAGAAAGAATCAACTGCACTACAAAAAGTCACCATTTCGGCCATTGACCTACATGGATGTCATTTCGGCCATTGACCTACATGTATGTCATTTGTGGTTACTAGCCTCAAATAACTCAAGATGTTTTTATGTTTTTAACTCCTATATATAAATATTATCTAAAAATATTTTCAATTGTTTGTAAACAGGAGTTTGAAAATAGTGCCAATCAAGTCTGACCCCTGGGGACCCATTATAGAATTGAAAAATAAAAAAAGCTAAATGTTCTCTTCCAGTGTTAATAAAAAAACATGTACATTGGATTTTCTAACTGTAAGAAATACTGTGTCTGCTTAAACATGTGTCAACATTATAATGATCTGATATGGAATATTATTCCATAATTTGGCACCACTGTATTTTGGCATAAAAGTGTCTTGATCTGTGTTATAAAATTTAAAACCAGCTCAGAAAAGCTTAAAATTAAATTGAAATATTTATAAATGCTTGAAATGCAGTGTTCAAAACTAAGGCAAACCTTTTGAGCCTAGAGCAGTAAAGCCAAAACATTTTAGAATCATTCGACCTACGGGTACTCCTCATTAGTCTGTTGATGATTATATAATGATAAATACTGTTCTAAATGACATTAGGTA